CAGTATAAAATGTTTATGAAATCCAGTATAAAATGTTTTTACTGTTCTCCAAATATTTCAAAGTTACTGTCACAATTTAAGTAATTTATGCTTCTGATCGTCAGTTAGTGGAAGGGTAGTGGTTTTAAATCTATTTAGACAAAATAAAGAATAAGAATAAATAAATAAAATAAAGTACACTATATATCAATTACTCTTAAGATTTTTTTTTATCTGCCACGGTGACCATTTCTTTATTGTGACTGTAAGTGTAGGGTTTGTTTTATCTAAGAATTCAGCACCATGAAAACTCAGAGAGAGAGAGAGAGAGAGAGAGAGAGAGAGATTCCTTAAAATGTGTTTAAAAATCAAAACATGTTCTTTGAAACATATGAGCGTAAGTTGTTTATAGCTGGTTATTTTAAAGCCAACGATGTAATGTTTTGTTTTTGATAATACATGTAATAATAATATTTTTAATCTATTGTCAGCTTATTCTGGTATTGTACGCTTTTACCTCTTTCCTTAGTATTAATTAATTATTAGTATTATGATATGTAGAAAGGACTTATTAGGGGTAGATTCAAGACTTTCAGTTGAGGTTGAAAAAAAGGAAGGTGTCATAAACTAATGACAGCAAAACTTGCAATTAATGTAATTATTTAAAGTTTAATCCCATAAGTTGTCTTGAATTAACTTTCTTTCTTGTTTATTAATAGAAATCAATCTAGATGTTGAAAATTGCTGAAGACTTTCTTACTCCTCTCATTTTTTCCTCAGTGAGAAGGGGGGTGGGTGCCTGGTGCGTCACCACCACTGTGTACGAAAAAAATATTTCAAAAAGAAAACTGAAAAGAAAATGTAGGGACAGCTCTCATTGTTTCTGCGGGTAAGACCTTTTTAAGCAAGTTTTTGTTGACTAAAATCAATCTCGCGCTGATTGTAGGACAAAAAGACAAGGATAAATGAACACCTATACATGTGTTTCACTTATGAATGTGACCCACATATCAGCAATATAAACGCAGCTCTACTTTTTTTATAACCACAAAAAGCATTATGTGCAATGATATCGAAATTGGGGATTTTACACTTTATAGTTACGTATGCTAAAAACGAATATTTGCTCATGTTTAAGCATTTTGAACATTTATATGGAAAATAATCATATTATTTTCGCAGATTTCTATCTTTACTAATTCCTTGCAGTAAAGATATTTGGGAGAGAAATATTTGCAAGAGAAGGGGGGGGGGTCTAGCAAATACGATAAATATATAATAATGAACAGGGCTGATTATTTTCTGCTTTAGCCTTAAATTAGTGATTTTTTAATAGATTTATCTTTCTTAAGAATAATTTTTTTGAAATGTATTCCATATTACTCCAAAGAAACTCACATTTAGGGCGACAATGTTTTAATGAGTTCTGTTCACTAAATAAACCATTCTGATAAGTTGCGACATCCCTTTTCAATCAATCTATAATTTTCTATGTTTCTGTCTCGTAAACGACGTTCAAATTATTGTTACAAATGAATACAGTAAAAGTCATTTAGTACGAACACGGATATACCGAATTTACAGATATAGCGAAGTTTTTTGCAATCCTTAGAAGTTAAAAATAACAAAATGTACATCTTTTATAGCAAATTTTCAAAGATGTCAATTTTTGAAATATTGAACTGATATATTAATTTTGTAAGTATTCATATTTGAAACTCAATTCATCCGAAAACTTTTGCACTCCAATGTAAATGTTGTATTTTATACTTAATTACTGTAAATGGAGATTAGAAACAATACCTTCCAACTTTTTTACTTCCCCCGTTTTTTCCAAATCATTTAGATCTTTTATATGTTAAAATGCTCACAAGGTCAGGATCCAAGAATTTCGGATTAAAAGTCTATTTCCATTTCAACAAATATTTTTTTTTGCAATTACTTCTATTCAGTCATTGAATAACATTGTGGCTCTTCAGTTTAGAAACATTCGTTTTAAGATCATTTCAGGTATCTTGTTATTTTTTTTTTCTGATTGCCCCCTTCCCCACTTTGAAAAACAAACTTCGTGCCTGGACGCGCATTCCAAAGATACGCTTAATATTTGCAGGCGAATAGGAAAAAGTCCGGAAAACAAAGTTGGACAGGCTATCGTCATTTGAAGCAAGTCGTATGTTTTTTATTGATGTTCGATACTCAATACTTACATGTAACTAGGAGCGATGCATCGCACAAAAATGTGTTCAAGGGATAGAAATACAATGTTCCTTCTTAACAATTATAATAGCATAGGGACCAGGTAGAGTGAAAATTTTCCGAGACAGTCACACAGATTATTTTTACTGTACATGTATCTATAAAATTCAATCAGTTAAACACGCAGTTGCCATCAAGACTGAGATGTGAAATCAATTTCCAACTGCTCTTAATTGTCTTAAATTAATGATGAGCTTTATTAGTAACTGTAGTGTTCTCTTGTACCAACGACACAGGTTCAATTCAATGTCTTTATTAACATGGACACATTCTGGCATTGTATAACAAAGTCCTTGTCTCTGACATAGTATGACAAAGTCCCTGTTTCTGACATAGATTGACTACAAATGAAATGTAAATATAATAAATACTTGTACTCAATACAGAATATACATATAATGTAACCTTTTATCAATATAAATCATGACACAAAAAGTGCTCCTTATATTAAACTTTGTAAACAGTGGTAATATGACAAATTCCTACTCAAATTCAATGTAACAAGTAAATGCATATAGCAGACAGTATGTAATAAATAATTAATATATAATTACCGTGATGTATGTCTGGTACTTTCAGCTAGAACACAACAAACTACTGCACTCATTGATCTAAATATGGCGCTCGTGCATTTCTCAACATTTGATAAACGTATCATTCTGATAAAATTGGAATGCACAGATATCGAAACTTACGGACGAAATTGGAATTCAAAATAAAATATACAGATTGTCCATTACAGTAACAAAAATGTCCATCCCAGTTGATACTAGTTTTAATTCAAAGTCACAAATGTAAAATCGCTCAAGGTAATTTTTCCGCCCTACGACGTTACGTTTCAAAAATGACGTTCTACTAGCATTTTCTTTTAAAACACCGTCATACTTCAAACTCTCTTTTTCAAAAAATATAATCGATATCAAGAAAAAAAAAACGGCAAAGAAAAGCTAAAAGTCTACACTATCAAATGACAAAACCCCGTTACTTTTTGAGACAGGGCCATTTTTGATGGTTCGTGGCTCTTGCTCTTTAACTTAAAGTTAGTAGATAAAAAAGATAGTAGACAAATGCTATTATTTTCTTAAAAATGACACACTGCCAAATGTTTACATTTCTTGAAATAGACTATAATTTAGTAAATGTATAAAACTTAGAACAATACGCACTATTTTACTGAAGTTATAGGTGTAAATAGATAACATGCAAACCGCAAAGCACAATCTGGCATTACAGTCATTCTACGATAAATGGACCAATTCAGAGTAAAAAACATGGAAAAAATAATTGTTTCAAATAGCAAAATGGAACATCATAATTCTCTAAAGGACATATCAGTGAACTAGAAAACAAAGAATTGTCCACGAATCTGGTATCGTTAAATTTTTACAACAATTTCAGGATACCATTGATTTTAATGTAATATTACGGAAGTTAATGCTTGATCAAGCCTTATTTTTTTTTTTTAAATAAAGCTGAGTTTGACCAATTTTTCGTTTCTGATGCTCAGTAAAGAACGCTAAAGTATGATTCATGAAGTCTCGCATGAATCCGAATTTAAATTAAATTTTCGGGAAAAATATCGTTACGGAAGTTAATCGTTACGGAAGTTAATTCACAGCAAAAAAAGTTAAAATTCTCTTCAATAGTTAATATCAAAGTTTGTTTTGGGATATTAAACACAAGTATAAAGCATTCAGCTCCCAAAATTATACAACAAATTCATACCTTTAATGTAAAAACTTTCCTGAATTACCGTTAGGGAAGTTAAATTGTTAAGAGAGACAATTGTTTTTGTCTAATTCATTTTGTTATGTCGAAAATGTAATCGTCTAAAACAGCTGACTCGCAACTAGAATCGATGATATAAGGTTCCGTGGTCACTTTCAGAATAAGTTTCAGTTCTTTTTGAAATCTGCATTCTATGCGTGAAATTTAAAATAAAATCGTTACGGAAGTTAATCGATTTTTAGCGACATGCTTATAATTTCGCATGAAAGGAGATCTATGCATTTCTTTGCGAGAAGTGGATTGATTTCTTTTTATATAGGATAAAAGGCATTTTTTAACATTCATTGCAATCTATTTGGAACGATTTTACGGCTGAAAATTTCATCTTGAAATTTATAAATAAATGAAGCGACATTAAGATTTGCAGTGGAATACGTTTTTCAACATTACATTATGTTCATGACAAAATTTTAAATGCATATATATCGGTGAATATTTAAAAAACCATGTGTGTATGTTAAGTCTTAGAGTTAAAATCGATTTTTAAATTTATAGTTAAGATATTACAACGGTAAATTTTTGAGCGACATAAAAAATTCTTAATTGGTCATGTTTTTGTAGAATGACTGATTAACCTAGTTTTATTATAAACTTAATAGATACCGATTTGTAATTTTTATCATATATTCGTGGACATACGCATTTTATTTTTTCTCTACTATGTCACACTGCTAAGTGTTTGGAAGTTGTGGGTCCATCTGATGAAACCTTAAAAACCGAGGCTCTGTGTCGCGTTAGGCGTTGACACGATAAAGATCCCTCACTGCTCAATGGCCCTGAGTGCCGAGTAAAGGTCTAAATTTGAAGCCCTTCACCGGTATATGGTGACAACTTTATATAAATAAAAAGATTACGAACGAGACGTTAAACAACAAACAATCAATCAATGAAAAAAAAAAGAAGTTTTTTCATTATAAAAATAATAAACATATAGCTATACTCAACACATTTCTGGCGAACAGTTTAAGTTTGCATACTTTGATCACATTTCCTGTCTGTTGTGTGTTTCCATCCAGGTGAACAATTTCCATCAGGACAGGAACCAGTCACGTCATCACACGGTATATTATTGGCACAATGTCCACAGGTAGAATTACAATCCTTACCAAAGCGTCTACGTTTGCATTCTGAAATATTTCAAATCCAAAGAGATGTATAGTTTACCCGCAAAAAAGTTTTTCAATGCTATGGAACATCAATAAATTCTTAAACATCGATGTTCGAAGTTCCCCAAAGATAAATATCCTGGTTTTCTTGAGATTTCTTTCTCCTAAACATTGCGTAAGTCCTCTTTAGTGAACGATGATTTTGCATCTATAGATATGAAATACCTTTATTATGGCTTGTCAGTTATAACTAAACGAAAATCATATATTTCAAATCAAACGATTAACTAAAACAACCACTGATACCATTTTGATATTGGGGAAAACACCTATTTCATGATTTATTGTAATATGGTCCGAAGTTTAAAAAATCATTTCTTCAACGACAGCATATATAATTTTCATTAGATTTCAAAATATAGGAATGAATTAATTGCGATGGAAGGACGAAGGTTATCATCCTATGGACTAATTTTACCAGGCGGAAATCATTGTAATAGAATGTTATGCGATTGATGAGAGCATGATGATAAAATCACATGTACAAACAACTTTTTTGTTTGATAATTATTTCTTTCTTCTTAGACATGGATTCCAAGTTCTGTGAAATATTGGAAAGTTTAACAAAATTTAATCTGATAACACATTTCTCTCATATCAAATACAGATCTAAGATTCCTTACATGTGTGATAACTTACTTTTACAATATGGAGGAAGATAACCATCCATCTTACAACCGTGTTCATCACACTCCCCGTTTTCTTTGCAATCATTCTTACACTGGTCACAAGGGACACATTTTCCACCATTCTCCTGGTAGGAACAACCTGTTATTTCAAAGAAGGATAAGAAAATTATTCGTGTAATGCCGCAGTGACTGTTTAGTGTTTACTGAAGTTAAGTTTTATCTTCGACAGGATACGCTAGCAATATCGTTACAGAATGATTTCCCAGAAGTGAAGCGAAATACGACGATCTTTTTACGATACAATTCTAATCGAAGTCTGTAAAATCATGTTTTCTACCCAAAATATAGAGGTAATTAATTCGATTCTATGACGGGCAATTTAAATGGATGTTCAAATAAAAAAAGTAAACCAAAAAATAAATAAAGGAAATGTTAATTTCATGTGATATATAATTTTTTTTTTGAAAGGCTTTAGTATAAAAAGAATATTATAATGAAACAAGAGGCCCTAGGGCCTTAACGGTCACCTGAGTACAATACAACAATTTAGAGGATCCATACACTGATAAATGAAGCTTTGTTGCCCAAAAGCAAGAACAATAGTATGATAAGCATCAACAAAATAATTGGTATAGAATCTATCTGTCCCCCATTTATCACTATTACCTTGCAGACTATTAACAAAATGTCTATTTTTAACCCCGTATTATTACTTCTCACATTGGTCTCTCTTGGCCTTTGAAGAACATTAAAAAAGGTAAGTTATTTTTGCCTTACTTTTATTCATTTATTATTTCCAAGTCTGCCTGATCATTAAAACTATGAAAGTACTTTTTGTATTATACAATTAATATTCTTGCATAATTCTCTTATTCTATTAACCTTTCAAATACATTATTTACAGTGATTAATTATCAAAGGTGAATGGCAAAGGGGAATAACTTTGCTCAGCAGAATACAAGTTCATAGAACCCTGGCCAGGACCAGAATACTTGACTAAATAATCCAGGTGTTCAAAATTCTGGTAAAAATACCCTTGCATATGAAAACTTTTACTCTGTTTGCCTCGAATATGCCCAGAAGAATACAAGATTTTCAAAGAAATGCATGTTCACTATGTTATTAAATAAATAAAGCCCCCCTCCCCCTTTACACCAGAAAATCTTATCCAGGGGCCATGAACTAATAATTCTGGAAGAAGCACTTTGCTCATCATAACTATACACTTGTTTCTTTGCTTTATTACCAGTAGTAGAAATAATATTTTGAAAGAAATTATGCATTTTCACTATAAAATCAATAGAGCCCACCCCCCCCCCTTCAAAAGAACCCCTGACCCAGGGGCCATGAATTGCACAATTTTGGAAGAGGCATTCTTCCTTATCATAACCATGCACTTCCTTTGTTTGAACAATACCAAGGAGCAGAGAAGATTTCGAAAGAATTTAAGCATTTTCCTTATATATCAACAGAGCCCCGACCTAACACCAGAACCCTTCATCCAGGGGCCACAAAATTCACAATTTCTGAGGAGGCAGCCATGCTCATCTTCACTATGTACTTAGTTTATTTAATATCCAGGAGAGAGAAGATTTTCAAAGAAATAATGCATTTTCACTACATATATCAATTGAGCCCCACCCTGACACCAGAACCCCTGACCCAGGGGCAATGAAATTCACAATTTTGGAAGAGGTAACCATGCTCATCATAACTATGCACTTAGTTAGTTTATTTAATACCCAGGAGTAGAGAAGAAGATTTTCAAAGAATTAATGCAAATAATCAAGAACCCCCCCCCCCCCCCCACACACACACCTGAACCCCTGACCCAGGGGCCATGAAATTCACAATTTCTGAAAAGGCAGCCATGCTCATCATATCTATGTTCTTAGTGAGTTTATTTAATACCCAGGAGTAGAGAAGAAGATTATCAAAGAATCAATGCATTTTCACTATATAGTCAAAAGAGCCCCCCCCCCCCCCTTACACCAGAACCCCTGACCCTGGGGCCATGAAATTCACAATTTTGAAAAGGCTCTCTTGCTCATCATAACTATGTACTTAGTTACTATATTAAATACCAAGGCTCAGAGAAGATGATTTTCAAAGAATTAATGCATTTTCACTATATAGCCAAAAGAGCCACCCCCCACCCCCCCCCCCTTACACCAGAACCCCTGACCCTGGGGCCATGAAATTCACAATTTTGGAAGAGGCACTCTTGCTCATCATAACTTTATACTTGGTTTGTTTTTTTAATACCCAGGAACAGAGAAGAAGATTTTCAAAGAATTAATGCATTTTCACTATATAATCAATAGAGCCCCGCCCTAACACCAGAACCAGTGACCCTTGGGCCATGAAATTCACAATTTTGGAAGAGGCATTCTTGCTCTTCATAACTATGTACTTAGTTAGTTTATTTAATACCCAGGAGCAGAGAAGAAGATTTTCAAAGAAATAATGCACTTTCACTATGTGATCTATATAGCCCCACCCTTGCATCAGAACCCCTGACCCTGGGGCCAAGAATTTCACAATTTTGGTAGAGGGCTCAATGCTTATTACAATTATGCCAACATTTTGACTGCTAGATGTCCAGGATTAAAGAAGAAGATTTTTAAAGATTGCATTAATTTTGGTGGTTTTAGCCTCACCCTCAGGCCCCAGGGGGGCAGGGACCATGAAATTCAGAATTTTTGTTCCCCTTCACCGATAGATGCAATATGCCAAATTTGGTTGAAATTGGTTGAGCGGTTTTAGAGAAGAAGCTGGAAATGTGTTCAAAAGTTAACGTACGACGGACGACGCACGACGACAGACAAAAACGGATAGCAATAGGTCACCTGAGTGACTCAGGTGACCTGATAAACTGACATCCTTCTCTAGTAGACTCTTCCATTTGAATAATTTAAGGAGCTAGACGCCGAGAGGCTGTGTCATTTCTGCTACAACGAGTGGCGAAGAGAGTAGGTAACATTGCTTTCTATGTTTATAAACACATAGTTGATCAGCGGGCGATTCATAGAGCCAAAGATGTTCAATTGTTTGGTATAGTATGACAAATAATAAGTAAAGCCATAATTCTGGCATTATGTCATAAAATATCACAGGTACCAGGGTTAGGGGCTCGAATAGAAGCAACTTGTCCCTTGTGCTTGTGTATCTATTTACTTAGAAGTTTTTTATGAAGTTTAATGTAGTTAATCATTTGCTGTTTTTTTTATTTCTTCCTTGATTTATATACAGGGCAGTGAATAATAGCAGAATATGAACTTATATGATGCATGTATATGAAAAAAAATCCATTTTCATTTTTAACACAAGCACCGTGATCATAGTGCGCCAGAGCAAAATGCAATCCAAAGCATAAATGCATGTTCGAGCTCCTAGACCTCAGTTAATCAATGATTTACTTCACAAACATTTTTTTTAATTTACCATGGCAACACTGGGAGTCGATATTGAAAAAATTCACTGTACAGAATTTTATAGCTTAGTTTCGTCTACAAAATGTACCAAGTTTATTAAAATCGGACCAAAAGTATAGAGAATGGACATTTACAAAGATTTTCACCGATTTTGTTTAAAAAAATTGTAACCATGGCAACATTGTTCGACAAATGTAATTAGATGTATGGTAAACGTGATTAATGTTCCATTTTATGGGAAAATACATTGTTATTTGACCAAAGCTGATGAAGGAATAGCATTTCAGGGAAAAAAAACGGACACCCAAAAAGACAAATAGGCGGACTCCGACATCTTAACATTGCCAAAACTATTCACAACATTATCTATGAAAACTTACTGATAGTAAACGTATTCGAACTGAGTATAAACAGAGGCATAAATCTGGTATAGTTGTATATTTTAATTTCTTTTGCTTGTACAATCTTTTCATTGTGCTCTGTGTGGACTCGAAAGTGCTTATTTATGTAGCACCACGCGACTTTTCTTACAAACAAAAGGTAACTCTTAAATTTTGACTTTGTGTCAGATCGACCTACGTAGAAAAACAAAGGAAAACAAAAAAGGGTAGATAAAAAGGGTTAAATTGATAAAATCTCTGTGGCCATAGAAATTTGGTTTGGATGCTTGTTGATTACGAGACATAGTTGATGTTAATGCACTGAACTTTTTCTTGTAAATCTTTCATTACTAACATGTAGCAAACATGGAGAATTTCCCAGATTTACGTGTATTTGTCGAAAAAAATATTAAACTAAAATTCTTCTATTCATATTGATCATTGGGTGATTGACTCTCAATCATTAGGCTTCATGACAATTTGCCGATGTTTAGCCAACCTGTCTCTCTCTCAAGAGGGAGTTGCAAGCCACGTAGTATAAACACAATTTACTAAAGTCACTAGAAAGTAGTTGTCAATACTGAAATTCAATAAAAATTTAATCATGGCGACAGCAGATTTCGACCATGGCGCAGCTCCTTTTAACCATGGTGCACATAAATTAAACAATATCGCGGGCTGCAATGTTAAAACCCCTTGTGGAGAACCATGGATTATCAAGTATATCTACATGACAATCCAACAAATTGCGAAACTCCTTGCACCAAAATGCTCTAACGGTGTAAACTGTATTTATTCTAGCAATGAGGTAATGTGCTTCGATCGAGCCTGAAATCGGCATACGTTGAATGATTTTACCCATTCAATAAATAAACAAATATCTATATACCCTAAATCTGGAAATTTTTACGTCGATTTATTTTTGCGAAATCGTGTCAAAAGTCTGTTGATAAATTTTTACGGTTAAAATTTTTGCGAATCGTCCTTTGGACTTAATTATAAAAAGCTCTTAAAATTTTCTTAAACGTTTGTATACGAAAGCCTATTAGGATCAAACTACGGTAAAAAAAATTTAAAGGCGTTATAACGCCTTTTCAAAAGGCGTTATAACGCGAATAAAGGCGTAATAACGCCTTTTGAAAAGGCGTTATAACGCGGAAAAAGGTGTAATAACGCCTTTCCAAAAGGCGTTATTAGGCCTTTGAAAAAGGCGTAATTACGCCATTCCAAAAGACGTTATTACTCCTTTCCAAAAGGCGTTATTACGCCTTTCTAAAAGGCGTTATTAAGCATTTCCAAAAGGCGTTATTACGCCTTTCCAAAAGGCGTTATTACGCCTTTCTAAAAGGCGTTATTACGCCTTTCCAAAAGGCGTTATTACGCCTTTTCAAAAGGCGTTATTACGCCTTTCCAAAAGGCGTTATCACGCCTTTCTAAAAGGCGTTATTACGCCTCTTTTTTTCAATACATGACTTATTTAGCCCACCCTGGGGGCTGATTATAATTAGATTTTTAGGAAAAAGGATTTTTAAATGTGTAAAATATTTTCAGTGTTAAACCAACTTAGTCCTTCTCTGATGCCAGACGCTTCTACCAAGGTGTATGGATTTCAGAAATTTTGTTGAAGGCAAATTGCTCATTATACCTATGCAAATACTTTCCTGTTTTTTACCAAGAGGAGAGATAAATATTTCAAATTTGACATGAATTTTTAATACGTGGCTAGCAAAGCCCAAAGCTGGTTTTGCCTATATCCTGGATTTTCAAAAGTAGAGGGTTGACTTCTTTTGGTATGCATTCAAATTGCAAACAACTGTCTGCGATATGTGCAGGAATATAGAAAATACTATAATTTATAATATAATTTATAATATTAAAACTATAATCTAAATATTCCATAAATAAAGATGGCTTTGGTTCAATCTTTCATATATTTACTATTTTAAAATAATGCCTTTCCATTTTTGGATACAACTCCTTTTCAAACAGGCCGGAAGTACGAATGTGAGTGGGGGGGGGGGGTCCCCCACACCACTTTTTGGGAGAATAGTCTTGCTATAGTTTAAATATAAAAAATCATTTATTGATTGCTTGGTCCCTTAACAATTTGTTGCAGTATAGTTAACCTCGGACAAGTTATTGCATTTAAAAAAAGTTTTACAGAAAAATTAAAAAAAGTTTCCCCTCAAGTTTAGGCAGTTTATTTTTTTCGGGGGGGGGGGGGGGTTCTTGTTTTTTTGTTTGCATGTCAATTTTATGGGAACCCCACCCCCCCAACGGGCCTGTCAAAGACATAATAATGGCTTTTCAAAAGGCATAATAACGCCTTTTTGAAAGGCGTATTAATGCCTTTTAAAAAGGTGTAATAACGCCTTTTGGAAAGGCGTAATAACGCCTTTTGGAAGACGTAATAACGCCTTTACTTGCCTTATTACGCCTTTTTTCCGTATTATAACGCCTTATAAAATTTTTTTTTATCCTAGTTTGATCCTGATAGGCTTTCGTATTTGTAAGTTACGCATGTACATACAATAAATTACGAATAAACATACAATATTAAACTACGCCAACGTTCAATAATCAGCTAAAAATATTAGAAAAGATAAATCATCCAAAGTGTTGAAAGTTTTCATTACATTTTCACAAATCACACATGTACATAAAATATAAATAACTATGTAATCTTTAAGTAATCTTTAGGTAAGAACAATTTTTGTTATTGATTTATTTTTAAGAAAAATATTTTTGCGAATGCAATGCATGTGCAAATTTGCTAAAAAATTATCTACAGCAAAAATTTCCAGATTTACGGTATGCAAGCAAGCATTGAAGAATCCCAGCCCTAATCTTTAACTGTGAATGTTATCAGAAATAGAAAATGCCTTTTTAATGAAACAGACTACTTACCAAATATCTGCACTTCACAGATTTCCAGGAAAACTCCATCATGAAACGATTTATTTGTGTAAATCCATACGTACTGTGCTACCCCTTCACATTTGTTTTCGATAATTGGTGGCAGAGTTTCATTTCCAGTGTGTTGAAAACAGACATCCTGATGTTTAATTTGGGTTGTGTTTGATAGACGGATGTTGTACCCTTGTATCCTTCTTGTGTTAGGTGATTCGGGGTCTGCAGTGATAAAGAAAATTACTAATTACTGTTTTAGGTTGATGTGTATTCGTAATTACATGTAAAATATCTAATGATATGACTACACATATTTTTGAACAATACCATCTCAAGTGTAAACACATTATGAGGATTCAGAATATTCAGTTATTCCGATCCTCCAAACAATCAACAGTTAATCATAATTGTTCCTAAACGTATATGTATATTTTGAAGGTGTACTTTGTAATCTCTCTCTCTCTCTCTCTCTCTCTCTCTCTCTCTCTCTATCCATCCCTCCCTCCCTCCGATCTATCTATCTATCTATCTATCTATCTATCTATCTATCTATCTATCTATCTATCTATCTATTAAAATATAAAATCATATTGTAATTGGGAAAAATTAATGTATAGAAAGTAACATAACATCAATTTGACTACAAATTGCATTAATGTGACAAGTCATATCTGCTAACCACTACGTAACTAGTGTTCTCTCAATAACACCTATGTACTCCATTAGCATTGATAACATAGCATCTTCGTTACGTAGAGAGAAGGTTGATAAACCTCAAAGGAATCACCCTCTCTCCCTCGTTAAATTGAAACGGCAAGTTCAGCCATTGTTGCATGTTTTGGCAATGGATGGAATTATCCCATAAATGTTAATTCCACAAAAGCTCAACGCTGGTGTAAAGACGAATAATGACCCCCGTAGAATAATGACCTGGGTCATTTGTCGAAAAATGACTCCCGGTCATTATTCGACGTCAAAAAATGACTTCGGTCATTATTCAGCATCGAAAAATGACCCTTTTGCCTGTAGAAATAGAGCTTCACCATTAAAAACTGAATATTCTATTTGAAGAAAAAGGACCCCTATAGAATAATGACCCTTAGTAGATTGTATAAGAGATATATTTTTGGAGGGTCTATAAAAAATTGGAATTAATAAATCAAGAGGCCTGTCGATCAATATACTCACCTGCGGTAAATTGAAGATATAGCGATGATCTATTGTTGTCATTAAATCTTTTAAATGTCTTTTATGAGCAAATGACAACTTTAATCGATATCAATGTACACTGAGTGGAAATGCTTTCATTCTGATTTGACTTGTGTTAACTGTTTAAAAAAAAATTCTATTTATAATCGCTTTTACTATTAAACAAGAGAGACAAGCAAAAAAATTTAAAGTCATCTGTATGTAAAGGTGTGTTACTATATATGTTAAGTAAATTATTTAATTATAAAATTTTACCTGTGGACTAAATTGAGAGTATATTCAAGTTAGACATACTTAATTTACCAAAGCAGAACAAAAAATTAAACCACCGGGAAGGGGGTTGGGGGGGGGGTGCGCCGGTGCTACATCTTTCTGTTTTTTTTTTTTTTTTTTTTTTTTTTTTTGAGAAGATTTCTAAAGATTTTCTGTATAAATTCCTATGTAAAACATTGATCACCCATTTTGGCCCCATCCTACCCCTCGGGTCATGATTTGAACAAAATTGGTTTTGTTTGTTTGTTTGTTTGTTTGTTGTTATAATGTCTATCTCGAGAATTTTTCATTCGTATGTAGACGTCACCACTTGCCGTTGGAGGGTTGCAAATTTAGACCTATACCTGGCACTCAGAGTCATTGAGCAGTGGGGGACCTTTTTCGTGCCAGCACCTCAAAATTGAACGCACGCTATGTAACGAAGCTTTCACATAAGTATCATCTCTTCTGACCAAGCACTTCTTGAAAAAGAAAAATTGAAAGAATTTTTTTCTAAATATTCTATGAAAAACTTTGATCACATTGAGGGACATGATCTGAATAAAACTGAATCTACACTTCATTATGAAGCTTTCACATAAGCATCAACTTTTCTGACACAGTGGTTCTTGAGAAGATTTTAAAAGGGGACACTAAATTTTCACTAATTCTTAACTACTTCCCTTGAAAGAGGGCATGGACCTTCATTTGAACAAAATTCAATCCCCTTTATCAACGGATGCTTTGTGTCAAGTTTACAGACAGAGGGACCGTCATACGAAATGTGATCAGAAAAGCTCACTTAAACTTTCAGTTCAGGTGATCTAAAAATGCCAACCCCAACACCAATTATATCGGCACATGATTATATATAAGAATAACGCAATGATTTCCAAAAATTCATTACTACTGAACAAAAAACTAGTACAATGTATTCAACCTCCACGTATATATTACAAGAAAAATAATAAGCTGATTTATCAGATATCTCAAGAATTACGGTATCTTGACAAATCATAGTAATGTACATCAATCCCGGACACAATTTTCTAACCAAAACTTTTCTCCCTACAGTATTGCGAGTAATGCTGTCTATCTCCATCCGGGCGTGTGTGTTTGTTTGTCAATCTATCTTTCCTTTCTCAAGTAAATATTCGTCAAAACAATATATCGACGACAATATATGCCGACCTTGACTGTACATATTGTCGCCGACGACAGTATGTGCTGGTGCTTGACCGTACATTTTGTCGTCCATTATGCAGGAAGAAAATAAGGCTAGTCTCGGTACATATTGTCGCCAGCGACAATATGTACCGATGGACGACAATATGTGCAGTGAGGGTAGGTACATATTGTCACCGACGACAATATGTACAAAACGACAATATGTACTGTCACAAACGAGCCTGTGTGACGGTACATATTGTCGTTTTGTACATATTGTCGTCGACGACAATATGTGCTGGTGCTTGACTGTACATTTTGACAAAACGACAATATGTACTGTCACAAACGTGCCTGTGTGACGGTGCATATTGTCGTTTTGTACATATTGTCGTCGGCGACAATATGTACCTACCCTCACTGCACATATTGTCGTCCATCGGTATATATTGTCGCCGACGACAATATGTACCGAGACTAGCCTTATTTTCTTCCTGCATAATGGACGACAAAATGTACGGTCAAGCACCAGCACATACTGTCGTCGACGACAATATGTACAGTCAAGGTCGGCATATATTGTCGTCGATACATGTATATTGTTTTGACGAATACTAGTATTTACTTGAGAAAGGAAAAAGAGATTTACAAACACACACACACACACGCACACACACGCACGGAGGGAGAAAACAGCATTACTAGCAATACTGTAGGGAGAAAAATTTTTGGGCAGAAAATTGTGTCCAGGATTGATGCACATCACTATGATATGTCAAAATACCGTAATTCTTGAGATATCTGACAAATCATCCTATTCCTTTTTCTCGTAAAATATACTTGGAGATTGAATACACGTATAAGTTTTTTTGTTCAGTAGTAATGATTTTTTTGGAAACTATTTTTTGCGTTTTTCTTATATACAATCATGTGCCAATATAATTGGTGTTAAGGTTCACATTTTTAGATCACCTGAAGTGGAAGATCAAGTGAACTTTTCTGATCACATTTTGTCTGACCGTCCCTCTGTCTTTAAGCTTTTCACAATTTCAGCTTCTTCTCAAGAACTACTGGGTTAATTTCAACCAAACTTGCCACAAAGCATCAGTGGATAAAGTTTGTTCGAATGAAGGGAAGAAGTTAAGGAGTAGTGAACATTTTAGTGACATCTTTTAAAAATCTCAAACACCACTGTGTCAGAAATGATGAAACTCATGTGAAAGCTTCATTATGAGGAGTAGATTCAGTTTTTCATGTATTCAGATCATGTCCCTCGGGGGAAGGGTGTGGCTACAATAGGTGATCATTTTTTTTTTAAAGAATATTTAGAAAAAAAAAATCCTTCAATTTTTGTTTTGGGTCAGAAGAGATGATACTTATGTGAAAGCTTTGTTTTATAGCGTACGAACAATTTTGCGAAGCTGGCACGAAAAACAATCCCTCACTGCTCAATGACCATGAGTGCCAAGTATAGGTCTAAATTTGCAGCCCTCCACCGGCAAGTGGTAACGTCTACAAATGAAAAATTCTCGAGATGGTCATTATAACAACAAAGACAAAATCATTTTTGTTCAAATTATGACCCCAGGGAATAGGATGGGATCACAATGGGTGATTAAAGTCTTACATAGAAATATATACAGAAAATCTTTAAAAATCTCAAAAACCAGACAGATGTAGGACCGGCGCACACACCCCCCCCCTCCCCCCTCGCCCCGTGGTTTAATGTTTTGTCTGCTTTGGTAAATTATGTCTGTTTAACTTGTATATACTCTCAATTTAGTCCACAGATAAAATTTCATTTAAAAATTTTTAGCTTGTCAAAAAAAAAATTCTGAACCACCCCCTCTTTTGTCCGAAATTTCTGGATCCACCACAGAACAGCAGTAGGCCCGTGAATAGGGATACTTATATGGAAGTTTCCTCAAGTAGTGCAGATTCAAGCATCTTCAAATCAAACCGGGCAACAATAAGCGATCATTTTTTTTTTTACATAGGAATATAAGGGAAATTTCTTTAATAATTATCCTCTCAAAAAAAAGATCAAGGCAATGCAACAGAGCAAAACAAAGCAATGATTATATAGTAATATTTATATGGATTGTTGATTGATTGATTATTATAATACCTCTACTGATTTTTCCCTATATAACATTAGATCGTTAGATGTGACTATTTCCCTAGAAATCATTAAGAATGGACTAATCCCCGTGTGTTAGTCAAGTGAGTTAATCCCCCCTTCGAAAGGTAATTTCCGGTTATCCGTAATCCTCTAAGTTTTACATTAACATTGGTATGATATGTGAATGGAATAATCCCCGTGTGTTAGTTCAGTGAGCTAATCCCTGCTTTGAAATCACGATATCTGAATCCTCTAAATTTTACGTTTGTATCGGTATAATAAAACAGTTAAAAGTATATCATTGCTTCGCCTCGGGAAATAGTCCTGGCCTTGGGAACTGGAATCTTGCTAACTCCCTCAACGATATACTTTAACTGTATTTTGTTGTTTAAAACCGAGTTGCCAATATTTCAGCCATATTTCGACGATAACATTAAGTTTATATGACAATTTTTGAAGTTTATAGTTTCTCTGGCCATATTTATATGGAACATTGTCGTGCATTGTCCTGCGAGATGTTCTGATGGACGACAATATGCACAGTGAGGGTAGGTACACATTGTCGCCGGCGACAATATGAACAAGACGACAAAATGAACCGTTACAATCACGCTGCATGAAATAGCATACGAGATACGTCAGTGTGATATACACCCCAATTACATTCACAAAACTACCAAAAAACAACAAAAGAATTCTTGAAGCAACAATATCTGTTGGGCGACAATATGTACAGTGAGGGTGAGGCTAATAATGTCGCCAGCGACAATAGGTACATTTGTTACTTTTCAGCCGATGACAATATGTACCGATGGACGACAATATGTGCAGTGAGGGTAGGTACATATTGTCGCCGACGACAATATGTACAAAACGACAATATGTACCGTCACGTGCCTGTGTTTACAGAAAGCACTTTTGGATACTTTTTACCGGGTAGAACTCACGTGACAACATCTATTTGAAATAATGGTATTCCACAGGTGGGTTCAACAAAGGTCCCGCAGGTAAATAGCTCTCGCTTGCTAAAGGAAAGAACATTGAACTTTTCATACATTTTAAATATTTTAAGTACCAGCCTAAAGTTGTACACGTTTCACAAAAGATTTATAAATGTATAATGCGTCTTCTGTCTTTGGCACAAGTTTGTACAAAGTTAGACTGACAATAAACAAAGACTTTGAAATGGATGCCCGTCCTCGATTTACTGCAGAAAATCACAATTTTCGGCTGACTACTACTACATTGTATGGCTTTGCTCTTTTTTGCAATTTGTTGAATTTTATAGTTTAGATTGATGATGTGAGATGAAAAATAATGCTTAATTTGAATCTTATTTTTTTTTCTCTTCTTTTTACCGGGGGATATAAGTGCACTTGTTCTTTATATAACTTCACAGGGATTGAAAACAAATGGTGTTTTAAATGTCTTGTACTATAAAACAGGAGAAAAAGGCAGCCCGAATTCGCTTAGGATCAGTAGAAATCTAGTTTTTCATATGCAAACCCGGGTTTTTATGGTCTTTTTTGTACATATACATTGTAACTTAAAACAATGTCCCCCATCCTCTTTGTGTTAAAATGCTCTTACAGCGAATCTAGTTAATTTAATCAATGCGATGCCGGAAAAAGTAGAGGTCATGGTTCAAATTAAGTACAAAAAGTCCATAGAAACTTTATTATATTTTAAAAATGTTTATGCAAGGTTTGTGCAAGAAATGAATTCAATTGCAATAATTCTGAATCATTGCGCATGCTATGGAAGCAAAATTGCTCTTTGAAAGCCTTTTGGATTTTCATCCTTTACTTTGCATTGAAGCTAGATCGTCTTCAAGAAGGGAGCATTTATTAGAAATGCGAATAGGTAATATCAACAATTTAAATTGGTGATATTACCTATTCGAAACAAGAAGGTAATATCATCAATTCGGTTGGGTTGATTCATCTAATCCAGTAGGTGATATCATATATTTAACTCAAATAAGTGATATCGCCAATTCCAATGAGTAATATCACCAATTCATTGCCAATAGGTGTTATCGTCTATTCGAATAAGTAATATAACCTATTCGAATAGATGATATTGCCTTTTTAATTTGAATTGGTGATATCACCGTTTCAAACAGGTGATATCACCTATTCGATATCACTAAATGTAATAAATACAAATCCGATAATAGACAAACACAATGATCCTACAGAATGAGCATGTAAGGCAGTTTTGTACCTATGCACTTCCTTTTACTCGTTCTTGGTGTGAAAAAAGTTTGTCTAATCGTTTTCACGACAATGGAAACCATTTCCAAAAATCTTACCGTTCACCGTAGCTCAGTCTGAAGAGCCCTCGCTCCATGATCAGGAGGTGAGTTCGAATCTCGGCCGCGACTGACCAAAGTCGATAAAAAATGGGTAGCAACTGTTCCTTCGCCATGCGTTTGGCGCCCTGAAGTGAAAGTTGCGGGTCCTTTGAATGAGACCTTAAAAACCGAGACCCCGTGTCACGGCAGGCGTTGGCACGATAAAGACCCCCCACTTCTCAATGACCCTGAGTGCCGAGTAAAGGTGAAAATTTGAAGACCGTCACCGGTATATGGTGACGTCTCTATATGAGTGAAAAAATATAGAATGGGATGTAAAACAACATACAATCAATCAATCAATCTAAAAATCTTAAATGTAATTGCATTTGTGAAGTTTTACGAAGATTTTACAAGCCAACTAAATATTGGCATTTTTTTTCACATGACAACGGTGGTCAATTTTAAATTCAAAATATTTAATGAACATCTAAAGATGTTCGTCGTCATTTCTTCAATGGTTCATTCAGTTTATCTAAGTCATGTCCGAGAAAATGTTCGGACAAAGTAATTAGTCTAGCGATAACAGTATATCGTCCTGACTTACGTTCTGGACGACATATTAACAGCTTTAGCCAATAACCACTGTGACGTATCTATTGTGCAATTTTAATTTTAAGCTGAAAACACAATAGGTCTAATTATAAGAAACACATGTAATGTGGCACATATGGGCGAAGAACCGGATCGAATTATCTAGCGGCTGTTACACTATTGCATCGACCTGGAACCATTTGTTTTTCTTTTTGAAATCTTCTTTAGCGTTGAATAGAGGGAATATTCCAGTTGAATGCATAAGCACCAACTATTGAGTCTGTCCAGCATTCGGCGGTTTAATGGCTTGTTCAGGATGAACCGGACAAATGTGCTGTATCCCGAAATTGATAGCAGGATCATATAAATAGTTTTGGAGACTCAAATACTGCTTGCATTTGCAAGACCAAACTCTGACATATTTTTTCATTTTTTTCCTAAAGTCTACACCATTAAAGGACAATCCATTGCTATGACGTAATATCAAACGCATTTACGGGAAAACTAGCGACTGAACAAAGAATACAATGGAAAGTTAAATATAAAAGTTTAAAAAATTGTAATAATCAATAAGCTTTTGTAATGCGACGTTTCTTTTGCGGTTCAGTATATATAAGCTTTTTTGGTCACTCTTAGATTTCCTAATTATAAATGTTTGATGTTATTGTCCTTTTCCTGCTTTGTTTATGCCATCTTTCTGTTCAGGATCTGCATCAATGCCTATTATCAAATGAATTTATAATCATAAGAACATATAAAAGTATCAATATAATGTATGCTCTCAATTTAATGCAACATAACTGGTAATAGTGCTGACATTAATTTAAAAAACCGTCAAGCATAAAACACAATGCAGGTTAGAGTATCTTCTTCAAACAACACTATACAAAGCTTACCAACTACGGGAGACTTATGACGGGAGAAAAAAAAAATGAATTTCGTTTTATGATATTTTATCACATTTATGCAGATGTTGAGCTCTGAGATAAAAAAAAAAGTTTGTTTCCAGAGAGAGAGAGAGAGAGAGAGAGAGAGAGAGAGAGAGAGAGAGAGAGAAAGGGAGAGAGAATTTTCAAATTCGATAACTATAGATTAGATTACACCTATTCAATGTTTTTTTTTTCATTCACACCTTTCAATATTGAATATTTTTTTAATCTTCGTTCACAACTATGAATTTAAAATATTTGAGAATCTTTATGAGAAAATCAGTTTTTAACAAACATAAAAAAATGTTTCTACAACATAGAGAAAGTTAAACTTATGGAATAAGAGACAATGTTAATCAATTTAATTGTGATGGTTTTCCATGTTGCAACAACGAATAGCTAACTTCATTGCATGAAATGTTTTAGAAATATTTTAAATCTAGATTTATAGTTAAAAATAATATTTTTCCCTTTATACAAATTTAGAATGTTACAATGTTCCATAAACACAACTTACATTTTCTGTCATTTCTATACCAAAACTTGACTGAACTGATATTGTAGATTTTTCGTAAATTGATTCGAAGCCAGGCCTCGGTACCTATTCCAGATGTATGCATGCAGTGCAAATAGTGACTCTGACTGAAGTTTCCATCCACTGTCTTGTTTGGGTATCCTCTGTAACCAACAGAACTACTATTTGCCAAGGTGAATGTGGGATTTACAAGTTGCCCTTTTAAAAAAAAGATACACTATGTTTTTTTTTTTGTTTTTTTGTTTTGTTTTTTTTTTTTTTACATGTTTTCCATGGTTAATAGCAAGGTTTACAACTTATGAAAAAAATTAAACACCTCATGCATTCATAAAATTTCAATGAATTTGTGCAGATTATGCATATTTAAATTTGTGAAACTGCTTAGTTATTTACAAAACTGACAGAATAACCAACTATGGACTAATTTCTCTTGACTCAGCAAGCATTTTTTTTAACTTATTAGGTTGACTGTATATTGGTCAGTAATGAGTACAAATTCTGATTTCCCTACGTAACTGCTTATTAAAAAAATACTATGCTTTTAAATGATTAATTCTATTCCAAAAATATTCAAATAAAAACACATGTATAAACAAAGGCATTTCTTAATAAGTTCAATTATATCCTTTTTTTTCCTCCTCCTGGACAACTATACATCCATGCATTTTGAATTTCAAAGGGGGAAAAAGTCATGGTTAACTTATTGCAAATGTGATGATTTTGTGTAGGTGAAGGGTAAAAAAAAACGATTCTTTTGACGTATGCATACATTAAAAATTTGGAAAATCCATTCTTTCAATTTTCAGATATGTTTACGAAAATGTAAATTTTACTGAAAAAGACGAATCGAAAATACAACTTTTACATTCTAAATAGTTGAAAAGAATTTGATAACCTTTCATGTGAAAAATGCTTTGTCGTTGATGTAATCCATGTAAAAATTATGGGAGAAAATGTCACCTAATATGGAATTTAGAATGTATCTTATCTGAGCATTTATGTAGGTAGTAGTAAATTTTCATTGTTTAATTTTTTTTTCAAAGTAAATGATAATAATGACTTCCTCTTTATAATTGTAAGTAATTTATCTTCTTCATTTAAGTTAGCTAACAAATAATGCTTATCACTAACCCCCATTACCGACACAAACCAAAACATCCTCCAATTATGTAAGTAAGATGAGAATTAAACGTATTGATTTCATATTTAATCATTCAGAATACCGACTGAATATTTGGGTATTAAGAAAAAAAATTTCAATAGTCTTTCATTCTTAACTTTAAAATTGAGATCTGAATCTTTGTTCGGTAGAATTAAAGGTCAAAGTGAAAGTAAATAAAACTTCCTGGTGCACATTTTATCAATATTTTGGCAATGTGTATCTGCCAAAACAAAAAACAAAACAAATCAAAGCAGCAAAAATAAAAAAAAAAATAAATAAAAAAATATAAATAAATAAATAAATAAATAAATAAATATATATATATATATATATATATATATATATATATATATATATATATATATATATATATATATATATATATATATATATATATATAGCACATTTTACAACAACTCTTAAACTAACATAACTGCCCTAAGTGAAGAAATATTAATATAGAAAGCACAAAGAAATTCACTTTTATAAGGATACCTACTTCCGCCCCAGCCAGAGGTTGAACTCTCGATCTACGGAATCTGTCTCCTAGCAGTACAGGAAAAGCGCGCTAGACCGCTCGGCTATCTAGGCAAGTCAAAAAACTTGCTTTCGATGCCGATGGAATTCTCGCGGCGCTGTCCTACACTACACGGTCATTGAGAATGGAAGTGAGATACAGTTATTGGACATTAGACATTGTATTAATATTTCTTCACTTAGGGCAGATATGTTAGTTTAAGAGTTGTTGTAAAAAGTGCTTTATAAATAAAAATTATTTTCATTACAACGTGTATTGGTATCGATTCTCTAATAAAAATAATGTCCAATAACTGTATCTCACTTCCATTTTCAATGACCGTAAAGACTTTTAAAGATTTTTCCAATGTATTCCTATGTTAACCTTTTATCGTCCATTGTGGCCCCACCCTACCCATGGGGGTCATTATTTGAACATACTTGAAACTAAACTATCTAAGGATGCTTTATGTAAATATAACCAATTATTGCTGTGCTGTTTTTGAGAAGAAATTTTTTTCTATGTATTTCAATGTGAAACTCCATTGTCCATTGTGGCTCCACCCTACCCTTGGTTGGCATGATTTGAACAGAATTGAACCTATACTACCTTAGGATGCTTTCATATAAATATAACTAATCATAGCTTTGCTGTTCTCGAGAAGAAGATTTCTAAAGATTTTTTCAATGTATTTTCATGTGAAAATTTGTCCATTGTGGCTCCACTCTATGCTGGGGGAGGGGGATGGTCATGATTTGAACAAAATTGACCTGCACTACCTGAGGATGCTTTCACATAACTTTTATCTAAACTATCTGAAGATGCTTCCATGAAGATATAACCAAACAATGCTGTGCTGTTACACTGTCTTAAGATGCTTCTGTATTAATATGACTAATCATGGCTTTGCTGTTCACTAGAAGAAGATTTTTAAAGATTTTTCATAAGTATTCCTGTGTAAAAATTTGATCGTCCACAGTAGCCCCATCCTACTCCCAGGGGATCATGATTTGAGCTTAATTGAACCTACACTACCTGAGGATGCTTTCATATAATTATTACTAATCATGGCTTTGCTGTTCTCGAGAGGAATATTTTAAAATATTTTTCCATGTAGTCCTGTGTAAAAGTTTGATCATTCCCTTTGGCCCTACCCTACCCCCGGGGGTTATGATTTTAACAAACATGAAAGTAAACTACCTGAGAATGCTTCCATATAAATATAACCAATCATGAACGTACTGTTCTTGAGGAAAAGAATTTTAAAGATTGTATCTATGTAAAACTTTGATGATCCACTGTGGCCCCACCCTTCTGGCCATAATGTGAAAAAAAAAAATGAATCTACAGTATGTAAAGAAGGGTTCGCTTAAGTTTTATTTTTTTCGGCTTAGTGTTTCTTAAGAAGAAGATTTTCAAAAGATACAACCAAGTCTGCATTAATTCTTAACTATCCACCTTTAAAAGAGGGCGTGGGAGTTCATTTAAACAAATTTGAATCCCCTTCTACCCGGGGTGCTGTGTGGGTAAGTCTGGTTGAAATTGGTCTAGTGGTTCCGGAGAAAAAGTCGAAAATGTGAAAAGTTTATAGACGGACGGCCAGATGGACTACATATGAAATGTGATCAGAAAAGCTCAACTGAGCTTTCAGCCCAAGTGAGCTAAAACAGCTTCCATTATTTCTATGTATTTGTATCTAAAACTTGGTTATCTTTCCATTTCTGTGAAGCTTATTTCATAAGAATGCTGACGTTTTTTATTAATTGTAACTATGGAGTCCCTTGAGATCAGGTTCGCTATCAATCTTTTACGTTTTCTTTGGATATTTATTGTGCCGTTTCAATGCAACAATTTTTTTCTTCAAAAACCTACATGAAAAAAATGTCTTGCTGTGGCGAACAATTTAACATTAATATTTTCAGACAACGTTCTATCGGTCAAATTCTTGATTTTATCCATACATTAATTCGATATATTTGTATACCACGTTTTGAAAGTAAAACACACCACTAATTCAGACACATGAGTTTTACATTTGGACGTTTTACTAGGAGAAAGATTGTTGAAAATTGACAACTAATGTTATTTTCTTGATTATGTAATCTTTCCGACTGTAAACTTTCCTTAATGATGTATACCATGATGTGCTGTATATGGGTTTTTATTTGTGTCTCTTGGGCAAGAGCATGTTCGGCATATGATCAATTTCTGAGTCAAGACAGGTTACTGATAAACAAATTGAGGTAGCAATGGTATCAGCAATCTTATTAAAAGGCGACAGTTCTTCAAATTCCTTGAGTACAGATAAAACCTGTCGTTAGACCGAACGTTGAAGACCCTTTTTAATGCCAAATGTTAGTCCATCGGTAGTTATACTGATTTTGTCTTGTACATGTTCCGCAATTTCATTTACGCAATTGAATAGGTCATAGCATATGCCTTGGACATGTTTGTTGGCCGACAGCAAATAACCCCCCCCCCCCCCCCCAATTTATACGTGTATTTCACCGACCATTCTTCTTATTATAAAACAGATTAGGGTTTTCACCTATAACAGATATTTTTCAGCAATGATACATTCATTTATAAGTTTGTAATTTTTTTCTCCAAATATTGTTTGGGAGGACCAGACCCTTTCAAGTGGTGGTCTTTCAATTCATAAATTTATTTGTCGCAACCAGTAATAGCTTTTAAACATTTTATTTTTTTAAAAACAAAATTCAGATAAATAATAATTAGAGATTCAATTTAAATTACCTTTAATTCTTCTTAACATTTCTTGCAAATTTTAAGAATTTAATTAATTAAGGTCTTCCGTTACAACGGAAGACCTTCTACTGATTCTTTTGGTTAAGATTATTATTCTTTTTTTCTCTTTCCTAGACTTTGAGACCTAATATCTTGCTCATTTCTCAATTTTGATAAAATTTTCAGAGTTTATAGACACTGCAAAACTCTATCAGAATACTTTCAAACATTCAACATCCCGCTTTTGAATTATTTCCCTTTAAGTAAAATTTTAGGGGCTTTGGTTTCCAGACAAAGGTTATGAAAACCACAAGCTGGTTCAGAAACACCACTGAATATAAGAAATAGAAGCATTGAAGTTGTGCACTTCGATTACGCCTAAAATAGCGAAAATTTACACATATTTTCCTTTATATCTTTTAAACTAAAAATATTTTGTTAAAATATGTAGAAGAAAAGCTGTACACAATTTTAAGGTCTTTCATATGACACCATTAAAAAAGGGGCTGGCCCCTAAAATTAGGGATTTAGGGCCCTTGGAAATTTTTGCTTTATAACTCAAAATGGTAAATTTTTCGATATTGCTTTTGATAGAAAAGTTGTTCTTTAACATCTTATTGATCTCATGAAAATAGCATTTCCCTCGAATCTTATGTGTTGTGTGAGTAAAATTCTGGACCCGTGAACAGGTAACCGTTTTCATTCGGCAAGTGAAGGAGAATTCTTTATGCATGTAACTGAAATAAACTTGCTAAAAATAATATTCCTAAC